AGATTTGGAGATATAACTGAATGAATAAAGCAAAATAAATCTGGGAAAGTACATTCATTGTGCAAGATGCAAAAGTTTAGTAGCCCTAGTTTTGAGCAGGACGCCACTATGTTCACTATCTATAGTGATGTTATCATGTAAGTGTAAAGAAGACAAGAGTGAGGAGACTGAAAGGAATGTTTATTTGTTGAAACGTATGGTACATAGCTAAGTTTGGAATACAATATTCTCAACCGGGCATTTGCACATCTTTACGACACCTTTGACGAATTGGTGGAATATCATCTCATTGGATAGCTTCTTGGATTCTGCATCATACGATAGCATTCTTCTCATGGTTCTCTTCTTTGATTGCTCTTTTTAGTGTGCCAAACATATTGTTACTTCGTTCCTGATATACTACTTATATCGGATTATAAGTAGCACTCACCACATAAGTACTCTTTTTGATGCTGTGTGATACTTTCAATTCATTTCATTTTTATTCAGTAAAATTTTTAAACCTTCACTGGGTAAACCTGATTTTGAGTTGATTTGTTTAGGATTTGTTTATCACGCACACTGAATTCCTTAAGAGAAGTAACCTCGACTCTATGTTCTCTGTAGAAAGAGGTATATGAGGATCAGAATATTGACTACTGTTAAACTCTGCTTGTTACAACTCTAATATATTCGAATCCTTCCAAAAATTATTTGATGAAGGAGTATCAGATTTTCATAATGTCACCAAAAGAAGACAAATATGAAGACACTTGAAGAAAAGAAATAATCAAAGAAAGTCTCGGCAAATGATATGAATAATAATAAAACTATACACAGGATGTCGGACAAGACACTTACTGAAAATGAAATATCATTACTTCAGAAAGGACTGAATTCTAACATCCCCAGGAAGTCATTACCGATTCAGGAATTGGCACCTATGATTGATCCTGCTCTTCCAATGAAGAATCACAATCCGTGCGAAACATACCATATATTCCCAGAAGACAAGAATATGAAGCCCTAAGAAGCTACAAATAAGGAAAAAGTATCCTTATAACTGAAGCCGACAAGAAAAGCGTCACTATGATAACGAACCAGAGTGATTAGGAAAAGAAGGCGATTGAAGACCTATCCGACGAACCACACTTAACTTCTGAAGAAAAGGAAAAATCTAGGCAACTGAACAATAGTGGAATTTACCAATTCACTGACATACAGTCTTTTCAGATACTTATTTTCGATATTACATCCACGGCAAAGAAAACATTCAGGCTACTGTGATTTCAAATCCAAAATAAAGTCTATATTATAGTATGCTGTGATATTCACTCATTATATACGAGTATTCTCATTATCGCGTTTTGATATCATTTTCAGTTTACTAGAACCAGGCACAGTCGTATTACAAGGATGTTTACTGGACAGCAGCGAAATAATCAATAGCTTACAATTCTGTCCAGAATGTAATTACTTTACATTTAAGGGGAATTCATATAGACGGACAAATGGTGTTGCTATCGATTGACTGATTTTTCCAATAGTTGCTGGTCTTTTTATGAATAGATTCGGGGATAACATCTTTTCAAGCATACTCACGCCTAAAATATGGTTAAGATAGGTCGATGACAATTTTGTTGTGCTGAAACAGAATCTACACAATTCCTTCTCAGAGTAACTAAACAATCCATCGCTGAAAATCCAGTTTACTTCAGATACAGAATCATACGTCACTGAACTACCATTTCTAGACTGCCTAGTTGAGAGGAGGGAAAACAGACATTTTAGTATATCCATATTCAGGAAGAAAACCCATTCCAACACATATTTACACTTCGAATCGCCGCAGCCCATCAAAGCAAATCTAGCAGTTTTTTGAAGTCTTCTTTGACGAGCACACCTATTGATACCATTTGCGAAGGGAAAAATAGATTACTGAGACTCTCAAACAAAATAACTACCAAAATAACTTAATCAGCAAAATTAACAATGGCATTAAGTAAGGTCGGAGACGCATTCCGAAAACATGGAACTAAACAGTAGTCTTTACTTGTAGAGTAGAGACGTCAGAGGATATCAGAAGAGACCCCAATGAGCAGGGAGTCAGAGTTTTCTTCCAAACATCAGACACAATGCGAAGCAACTTTGTCCACATAAAGGATCAAACCCCTTAAAGATTATGTATCCAATTGTGTCTATAAAAAAAACACGTGGAATGTGTAGCGTGATATATCGGACAAACATCTCGAGAAATAAAAATCGGAATGAATGATTACCGTAGAGCATGCTTTCGACCACCGAGAAATACAGTTGAAGAAGAAAAGCCTGAAAATTTATCACTCGTAGGCTACACGCTAAAGAATCAGACCACAAAATTGATTTTGACAATATTGAAATCATCATCCAGAAAAATTTCATTAATTACGAAGAACGTCTCATATCATCAGAAGCACTTCCTTTCAAATGTAATCCAAACTGTCTGAATAGGAATGATGGACTAAAACAGAATCTGACCTGGTTACAACACCTCCCTCCAACATGAAGTGACAAAATCAACACGAATATAATAAGCTTCTTGATTATGTAAAAACATGCTGGTTTTATAACTTGATACACTCATCATCTAATAATGTACACCTGCTTTTGTTATCTTTACCAAGTGACAACTTGAAAACTTTAAAATTACTCCATGCTGATGAATCATGGCTCTATTTCTACATATAAGCTGAGAATTAGTAAATTCTGGTTTAATGACCCTTTGATTAAGCTACTAGCGAAACGTTAGTAGGAACAATATCGCTTTGTTTTTTTGCATTCGGAAATATAAACAACCTTCATTATAATGAATATCATATTCCTAATGCCCAATTTTTTTTCAAATTCTTAAAAGTGAACTTTGTTTGGACATGATCTAGTAATTCATGTGTTGCGGTTCGAAACTCTGATAATAAATTTCAAAATGTCTGCACTATTTGTCCCAACCGTTAGGTATTTAAAGTACGAAACAAAGCTCGGCGGATACGAAACCGGAAGTTATTGAAAGTATTCAGAGCCAACAAACAGGCTCGGGAACACTATACAGCATAATTAGCGAATGGAGAACACAAAGGTATATACAGTTCGGTAACAGAACATTTGGTGAATTCAGCCCATTCAACTTCATTTGAAAAGTCTTTCAAAGTCACATACACCGTCCGGTCACATATATTATAGGAAGTGAAATCAAAGCATTAAGGAATAGCTGATGTACTGGAGACTCAAAACTCAAGCCCGCTCTATATGTTCAAACTAAATAGGTCCAACCGTTGTCCTTATACTGGCCATCATGCAAAGGGATCCCCGCCAATAATGATTAACCCGTTGCCTTTCTCGACCAACTTATCTGTCTATGTCTGTTATTTTCACGTTTTTAATTCTTTTCTTCAATACTAGATGTGAAAGCTGCTTTTTAAAATTTTTTAAATGTCTATTTTGTTGATAATATGTCATTTAGCCACACTAACACGAAGTGACACGTTTTTCCAGTAATTATAATTTTATTGTGTATTTCCTAACCGATCTTCCAGATTATTACAATTTGTAGTTTTATCAACTTGACCTTTGACCTAAAATATTTCCAGAATACTACCACAACTTATCTTCTGTTTGATATAAGAATAAAACTTGTGCACTGTGGTAGAGTGAAATTCCATTATGGGTAAATTTTTGTTTTGATAAAGTCTCACAGTGTTATACAGTAATGTTTACTGATGACGTTTCGAGCACAATTTATTGCTTGATATGATTATGAGCAATAAATTGTGCTCAAAACGTCATCAGTAAACATTACTGTATAACACTGTGAGACTTTATCAAAACAAAAATTTACCGATAATGGAATATCTTCTGTTTATTAAACTCAGTAAATTTATGAATTCAAGCCTTCCCTGAAAATAATTCTGGGAATTTCTCACACAAACAATACAAAAGCTCGACTGTACAGCCTAGCTGATGACTTAGTTGCAAAGAAAAAACTCTTCGCGAAAACCTTATTTTCACTAATCTTGCGTAAGCACAATAACTTCTGTGTAGCACAAAGTCAACATAACACTCCATATTGATCTCGCAATATGGGTTGGTGATAATGTTGGATAGGTTATCAATATGATAAGTATATGTGAAATCTGTGGTAATTTCAATCTGATAGCCTGTATGTACGAGATGAGCCCAGTACAGATTTTTGATAAGATTAGATTTTTGATTAGTTGCCGTTACCCACCTCCATCTCTTCTTGATTCCCAACTTGCTGTAATGGATTTATCCGAGTAAATGAAGGGAGAATTTACTATGAAGAACGTTGGGAATTCATCATTGGCTGTATTCATATTGTTCATGACGAAGCTATTAACATTACTGATTGCTTTAATTACTGTAGTAGTTGAATTTTCTTTACGTAAAATAGGATATGCAGGGTATTACTACAAGCAAAATCTCACTATAGGTGAAAGTTTTTGATTCAACAGCATACAAACAGATCATATTTACGCAATGAACTAAGTGAACAATTTCCTTATTTTCTTCGATTACCAATTTAAGTGATTAAATATCATTCTAGACTACAAGGACGGTGATGATGGAGGTCACATAGACAATTCTTCCGACAACGTTTGACCAAGCGACATGAAGTGATGATTCTTCGTCAAGACCACACCACTGTACAACTTGATATAGCAACTACCAGACAATCAACTAATAGTTTCCTTCACTGGATTGTAAAAGCATGCATTCATATTACCGAGTTTCGTTTAGTATTTCCATGTGTGATGATTTAGTTTAAGAGTCCTTCGCTCTACCTGAATCGGACATCCTATTTTTCTGACTGAGTCACATATTCAAAAGACGATTTCATCGTCAAAATACATAACGTCGAAGGAAGAGTCAACCAACACTCAAATTCTCTTAATGAGTGATAGACAAACTCATGAAAAACATAATTCAGAAGAAACTGTTGTACAGATACAAAAATGAAATTTCTAGTGCAGAAATATTAATTTATTCTATAAATTAAAAATGTGAACTGTCAATTAGTCAGGCAGTTACATGCATAATAAAATGTGTACGCAAGCACAAGTGAATATCCCTTGTCACAATATGATTGATAGACCGATGTGTTATTCATGTTATTTCAATGAGCTGGCAAAAACTAGAACCAACTGAAAGGGAAAAAGTAACCAATAGAACAACATCATTTTTCTGAGTTTCAATTGAATATATGCCAGTCTGTTGACTGAATATAAACTCCTGATTTACATTAATGAATAAAATCAACACTGAGATCTACAGAGAATGTGATTTGGAATTTTTAAATAACCTCGACCACACCACGAAGGCTTGTCAAGGTAGACTTCACCTCTGTTACAAATTGTTTATGATTTCTCATCTCCAACTAAACCCCACAGCTGATACATAGGGAAATTTCTTAATTTCAAAGTAAAACTGTGAACTTACTATAGCTACGGCAGTGTTCCATAATCCACCAGCCAATTCGGAATATTTCATCTGAAACGAGTTGAGATAAATTACATCCGGAATGTTGATCAAGGATTACAGCAGATCAAATGCACAATTCGAGTATAAGTAACATGCCAGTAAAACTGAGTGTTGTCAAATTGAACAAAACTACAAAATATGTATGTACAACAACGCAGTTTTCCGATTAATTCAATGAATCAGTGAGATAAATTAGGCAACAGTTAAACGCATCTTTTCACAAGAATTAAAGTTTAAAATTTCTTACCACTGTGTAATAGAACGTTTCGTCATTATCATAGAATTACATAGTAATTTGTATTTTAAATATCAAATAAGTGCGAAACTGTTTCTCAGATGGGCGAATGTACTTCAGTTCTTGAATTGCTGCATAAGTACACCTAGTTTCTCCTCCTCTGGTTATGCAAAGATGTAAGGTCTCAAGAATACAGAGATAGGTATAAGGCTGGAATTTCGCGTTAGTAATAGTAATATTTAGTTAACAGTTCTAGTTATGTTAAAACCTTAGAATAAAAAGGATAATTTGATATTTCAGTGGAATTACCTGACGCATTTCTAAAAAAAACAAAACTGCTCCAGTTATCAGAAAAGCGATCGATACAGATATCAGAACTATTATCACCACTGGTTTGAATCTTTTGACATAGATGCAGGCGATAATTGTTAACAAATCTTCCAGAATAACGAAGCCCAATAAAAAGTAACACTTAAAATCAGGCCCTCGGCAATACGTAAAACAGATAGCTCCAGACCATAATGCAATCTGTTGGCAAAAGAAATTAGACATTCTGAACATCTGAGTTGGAAAGTTTTAACATTTTTTTCACAAAATTGACATAAACATAGAAGTTTCATATAAAATTACAGCGAATTTCAGTTAAAATGTCCTTGCAGTGTAACTTTTAGTGATGTGAAAATTCCTCATAGAAAAGTGAATGTTGGTTTCGCGTTTATTGAGTGGGATCAACGTTGTATAACTACAACTGTGGACGGATTCATGAATCCCCAGTATCTTGCATGTACCTAAAGAAAAGGTGTACAATGTTTCTGTTTCTCGTTGCATTTCGCGGTTTAGATGAGAAAACGCAATTTCTGTTGTACTCTAAACCGTGAAAGTGTCAGATCTCAAACGGTGAATCCCGCTACACTTATCAAAATGCATTCACACGTACACAGGGAGGACACATCGATCTGTGCACATAAGGTCTAAAGAACAGATTCGTTGACATATAGATAGATAATTTCACCTCAATTAATTTGTAATCAATCATGATTTTATACTCATCCGCTGAACAAGTTTCGTAATTTTCTTTAATTCAGTGAAGCTTTGCTTAAAAAATAAGGTATACTTGCGATATAGTTCGACGTCAAAGATTCGTGCATGTTGGTTTCAGAGGTTTTTTAAGTCGAGAACATATAATCAACCAAAAAGTCGCTCATACTGGAGTGAATAACAAACCTTAACCTCAATTTCAGTGGATCACTTAGTTCCTGTGAGGCGATATTTTGCCACATCATATTCGACAAACGGTATTTTATATGAGGTATACGGTCGGTGTTGTTGTTGTTTGTGAAAGCAAATCAAAATCAGAAAACTTATTAGGAGAATTAATCTTTTATCATCCGAATGTTAACTTCACAGCTAAACACGTGAAGAATAATACGAAGACTATATAAGAAGTTATTGTTCGTAACAGACCATACAAAATGTGTCTTAACAGTACAGTTGAATGTTAAACAAAGACTGCGATGGATATCTCATTTACGATTAGTATATCGAGAGTGGTTCATAGATAAATCTTCTTCAGAAAGATGCCACAGTACAGCCATCTAAAATACGCTGGGATTCATTTAAATAATTTATAATGAATCAATCTGACTCGGTGATCATATTATTCCAAAAAGTTGTTAACATCTTAGGTGCGGAAACTTACATCTATCCGACAGTTTTGAAGAAAGCTACAAATAACACTCTGCAATTTAGAGGGTGTTACGTACAAGATAAAGTCAAAAAAGACTTGATCTACAAGTAGAATTAGCTGTGCTGCAAAACTCGTGTACATTGACTGCACCAAGTGACTGCTTCAACAATCTGGAAAAGAGCTGTCGCCAATCTTCGACAGTTCGAATTGTGCATTTCAACTTGAGTGTGTTTGTGTAAACAAATAAACAGATCGTAGGAGGAGGTGATTGCCTGTTTGCATAATGCAACTTTTGGTAGAGTGACTGAAATCACCTGCAGTCAAGGTATCAAAATATCCAATTTGTAGACTGGAGACTTAATACTGACTCTATCAAGTCCTTCACTTCTGTCATTAAACAAAGGAAAATGTGTGCAATTGCGGAGGCTTGTGAAATTAGGGTTCGTAAACTTAGTCTCCGTGTACAGAAAGAAATCGCGATCACTCTGAATCCACTACGTCAATTCACCTTACTTATTACCTGTTGTTATTATTGTTATTAATTTATTCTACCTCATTATTATCCTTCATTCATTTGAAAACATCCTTTATCAGTAGTGGTATCTTAAGTCGTTTTACTATTCATATTATTGTCATTGATATTATTATCAATATGACTTAGTTTGATGTTCCACCGAAATTTGGTGAATTTAATAAATTCTGCTTTATTATCCCATGTTGCTTCCTAAAATATAATCCATTTTTGAGTGAATATAAACAATATAAACAAAATTATCTCGAGAAAACGAAGCTTATTCATAAACGTGAATCTCTGAGGAACTTACTATAATTCCTATCAGGATCAATGAAATTCTCAAATTATTCTTAAATACTAAGAATAGAAATACACACAGGATCACAGTCCATACTCTAAAATACAAATGCAAAACAGCTGTAATAAATTCCGGAAGATGAAAGGAGTTTTCTATGTAAAAACATTCAATAGCCCTACATCCATCATTCCTTGCTAGTTCATACTTTTATCCGTGCAAATAATTTGCTGTTAAGAAAAGCAGGAGTTTCCACATATTTGGAACAGTTGAGGAATCATTCCTTGTATATACTCACTCATATGATATCAAAACTACAGCACTGGTTATACGTTTATTGATCCGATACATTATTTAAAATCAGATAAACTCAGTTACGCTATACTGTTCGAATATTCCAAAAAGGTTCATTTTGTTACGTTTCGCAAGTTATTAGTTACCCAAGTTTCAACAAATCCTTTTCGTTTCAAAGTATTCATTGCTTGCCTACTAATACCATTTTAGAAACAAAAGCCTAATATTTGTCCTGGGGAAAAGAATTTTCGATCATGTTTGTACTCTTTCTATTTGTTTTTCTTGTTATTAACAATATTATACAGAGTCCGATAATCGGAATAGTCTTCACTCAACTAGCATCTCAACGCAGGTACAACTGAGGAATTACTAAATATTTATTCACATGGACTTAAATTCAAATATTAGTTCTTTTGCATAACTTTAATCAAACCAATATTCACAGCAAACAGATGGGCATAATTTTGTATCATCGCCGGTAGACCTTGATGATGCCACACATCCGATTAAGACAGTGTCTACGTAAACAAGAAAATACTTCAAATCTATAGTAGTCAATAGTTTCTCTGATTATTTAATCTATAATTTATTTTGATTATAGCTTGATTCCACACCGTATTTTCGCTGCAATTATGAAATTTTAAGCGTGTGATATCGGTAGCCCAACTTCACAGGCCAACCATTGATATCGGGTGTGCGTTGTTAGGGGGTCTAACTTCGGACCATGTGCATGGTCGACGGCAATCTTAACTGCTGTGCCATCACCGGACACCACCATTTCAAGATTTGACTTTTGCGGTTATAATCACGAAGTGATGTGAAGGTATTTTAGGTCATTTACAGTTAATATTGTAAATCTCAAAGATTGCGGGAAGGAAGATTTACAGACAAGTGATTGCTGCATAAGCCGTCCACTGAGCACCAAAACTTTCGTTCGCCTGAAGAAAAAGTATTTAGTTCATGTTAGTAAAAATTCTGATATCGTTCATAGGTAACTGATTCTAAACAAAATCAAGAAAGCTATTTTGGCGCGTTGCCCATGGTTGTTACACATTTGGTGACTGTTGATTTTAGATAGAACCAGTATGTCCTTATTTCTCAGCATGAATGATTTAATGCATGAACATTGCCTACATATATGAGCGATGACATCGATGAATATGTTATTCGTGTGACAATTTCATATCTTACAATATTCAAAAGTTGGAGTCGATATCAAACAAAAAATAAGATTGTAATATCTCAGAAACAAAAATTCGGCCTGAAACATTTATCACTATACACGTGGAAACATGACAACCCTCAGCGTTTGAATTGACAGTTTTCATTTAAACCATAACTGTTCCTCTAAAACATGTCCTCACATATGCACAATGTTCGGAATTGCAATCAGTAATGGGATGTGTCAATAAAATCCCTAAAAAGAATAAAAAGGCGTAAATCAACAGATTCTCTGATGTTGTGATGACTGCTCAATATACATATCAAATATTAAATCTCATAAACCATGAAATCATGAAATAAGAATGCCTAAGATTAAACAAAGAATGCAGCCATTGATGACAAGAAAGTGACAGTAACTACAAATCATAAGAACTGAAGTGCTCACCTCTAAAATGGCAATCATCTTACACCAGACGCTATGAAATGGACTTACATCATTGCTTAACTTATATGTAAATATATATTCACCTAATTCTCTGAACTTTGTCTCAAACTTTGTTTACATTCATGCTGAAGTGTTTACCAACTGGTAATAAAAACTTCAGTGCACATCGAACTTGTTTATATTCAGAAGTAAAATAAAGTCGTCTAATGCATGTTTATTTAATAATTTAGATCACGACTGAAAATATTTTTCTACTATCAACCAGGTGGCTAATTCATAGAACAATGGAATATTGAAAAGTCAAAAAATGATGAAGTTACACTAACATTATTCGTGTGATAGTTTCTTTCATTATGTACGTTTACTGGATGACTGTGTTTCGAGTCGTCAGCGCGTTTATTTTCTACTAGATTTACAATGAACTCTATACTGAACAGTTTCTGCTCCAATCTTTGGGGATCCTGTAATACCTTCAACTACATTTCTTAAAGTAATCGTCATTTTCGTCTTATCGATAATTAGTCAGATAGATATTTTCTTTGGGCTGTGAAATCCACTAGTATTCCTACTTTCACAGTGAATAACTTCAGTATTCTTCAAAATATTGAAGTATAACTTCAATTAAATATATATGATAAAAACACTATGTTACTGAATTCAAGAATGAAGTGGGCTGTTCACTAAATAATTCACAATAAGTTAGCAGAGTCAAGTCTTACACGTTTTTTATCAGATGAAATTTGTCTCAAAAGAGGTATCGCAGAATATTTATGATAAGTCGATAAACCGAAAAATCCGTAACGGCCACTGTTACTCCTTCATGCTGTTATGAAGGAAGAGAGTTTTATAAAGGGAGAATAGCCTGCAGATAAAAAACAATTTTAGCTAATTTTATTTATGTTGACTCTAATAAACGTACGTTTAGTTTACATCCGATACTTTTGAAGCAATATATGTTACTGCTTTGCTCTCTATCTCTAGTTCAATGATCAGTTGTTTACATCCTTTTCATGCATTTTGAAGTTAATGTCAACGAGTTAATTGTCCCTTCACTACACGTTTTTAACCTGTTGCAGAGGCACTATTAACTGAAATAAAAGGAATATATGCTAATTGTAGGGAATAATTATCTGCATTGATGAGTTTAATGAAAAATGATGTAAGACTAACACCTTCAGGTAATGATTGATGAGTGTAGTTACAAAGTTGTCTTTAAATTAGAATTGATTCGTGAATGCTGACAACTGCAAATCAGAAAATTTGTGACGCATAAAGGCGATTGCAAGTAAGGATGTATTGTTCTTCCCAAACTACGATTTCCATCAATCACCAATGGATTTTCTTCAATAGGTGAATAAGTTATCAGGTAGATAGCACGAGCTTCCATGATTAGCATTACATACTAAAGGGAAAACTTCGAAATAGTCAGTCGTAAGGGGAGAGAGCAGTTATGGATATGAGTATTTTGTCTTTAATGAAATATAATATTGAAATCTCCAGAATAAAAACAGAGTGTGAAATGATTCATATTTGCGTAGTAAAACATCTAGAAAAATTTCGAATTTAGCGAAAAATATCAAACACAGGATAAACGTATGATACTTTTTGTCAGTGTGGCAATCGTTGATTCCTACTGACTACTTATTTACACTAAACTGTAAAGCACACGAATAGTCAAATCGTTTCAGTTAACTTCTCAATGTTTACAAAAGAAATAATTCTCAAATCACTTATGAAAGGTAGATTTATCGTTATTGTTTTTTTTTGAATAATGGACTTTGTTCAACCCTAAATACAATAAGTAGTGAAATAATGTAAACATGTTCAGGCGATGGAGAATGTAATGTTAGGGATTATTTTGTTCACTTCACAACTCCCCACTTATTCATTACGCTGAGTTAGACTTACAGTCTCGACGATTTAGAACTCTGTACTCTAAAATTATTCAGTGTTTTTCAGTAATTGTTAGTTAACACAATGAAGACTTTTTACTCTATATGTGAATTCAACAAATATTTCGTTTATTAATGACGAGATTCAAAGTCTAATATTAAGTAAACACTGAGATTAGTAAACACGTCTGATTCGCATGACAGCTGATTTCATAACGAAGCTGGATTTAATTTAAAATAAGGGTTACTCAGTGACTTGTAATATTCAGTGTAAAATGAACTACACAACCAGTAATATTAGGAAGCGAGATAAAATACAGTACTACAAGTGGGCATAGAGTGAGGTCAAATGAAATTAAGACAGGAAATTCGGCTATCACACCACTCCTTTTTCGTTAACACTTGGAAGTCTGGTGTTCATGTAATTTTCCATCTCAGAATAAATTTATCTGATCGAATCACCCAGTGATGCAGTATTATACATTCACAACAATTCGAACACAATAAAATGTTCATAATCTTATCAAGGCAATAATTAAAATAACTTTCAAACTTTGTTTACAAAATTTCCTTGTTTCACACTTTTTGGTGTAATTGGTAATGATATTTTCACGTTTCTGGTATTAACATTTCGTCTATCATATTGCATATTGTTAGGTGTAGATTGGATGAAAAAGATTCAGTGACCAGCATCTCACTCAACCTGCCCATATTACATTTTATAATTGTAGTGAAGCTTTGTTTATCGGATCAACACTGCACCTTTGCTATCGGAATGACACAACGCCTATACCGGAGATATGGAAAGTGACAAAAAACAACAAAAGGAAGGTGTAGAGATGGAGAGAAAGAAACTAAATATTAGACAATATGTGAAGATGTGGGACTAAAATGAAAGGATAATGAGCAATAACTTATACTGGAAACGTCATCCAGTTGCTACCACTGCATCACTGTATGATTATTATTAAAATGAACTTATCTCATGTGAAATTTGATTCTTCTACTGTGCCCAGAGTTCAACACTTGCATTGGCAAACACATTGTCTTGGTTCACCTCATTATTTTTAGTCGTACTAACACCTTTCGTTTACGTTTTCACAAAAGGCACAATTTACAACAATTATCGTACCACATTTCAGAATTTTTTGGATTGCACTGGTGGGTGAATTTCGGAACACTGCTGTAGGTTTTGTAAGTTAGAACAGATTGCTATCTTACCTATTTGCGAAAGGAATGTCAGTTATGCCAAAACCTTCCTCTGCAATGAATCACTGCCAACATACATTTCAAATCATTAACCTCATCACTAAAACAGCTATGAATCACATTGAAGGCATCTAAAATTGTACTGGTTGAATTGTTAGATTTATTTTTAATGATATAACAGGTTAACAAGCTGATCAGAAAGTTAACAGTTCTTAAACCATAACTGCTGTTGTTTTATTTTTTGTAGGCAGCGCTGATTATCATAGATTTCCTTTAATGAATTTATCATATCTGAACTACGCTAAAACACATCTTCCAATTTCTCATCCGTATTTTATTTATTGTGCTAATATATTTCTCAAAATATGAATGCTAAATATTGATTTTATGACAATTACTTCTTGAAATTCTTTCAATAAGTGATATGACAGCAAACCTCACAGCTTCATTTGCATACCACTTGTTTCACAGAAGAGTATATGTTTAATGAAATCATAGCTGGAAGAGTATTTAATTGTTTCACCCGGAAAAAAAGGTTGATTGGCTTTCTGATCTCAGCATCAAACGTTAACGTTTCAAACTGTTGAATAGAACAGTTTAAGGTGACGTATTTTGGCTAATAAAAAACTTAGAAGAAAACACAATATTTTGAAAGATAATGAAATCGGATGGTGGACGAGGAGTATAAAGTAAATTATTGAAGAACAGTTAACTCTCATCCAATGATGGATTCTGAGCAGATCAACCACCCATTATCAAGATTTTTGGTATTTTACTGATAACTATATTACATCCAAAATAAATTCCTATTCGGCACGTTAGGAGCTAATGACTGCGTATTCACTGTGACAACAGCAACGTTGTATTCACGAATTTAAAAGCCACCGGTTATCGACGCATTAGGACTTTTATCCTCTCAGCATTATGTAAAAGTTAAGACATGTGCTGGATAGGCGTCGTCATAGCGTTTCTATTCCAGTGGTGACATAACTCACTATTCATCACTATGTTGCTAGAAATTGTCGACAGTGTGCACATCAGGCTTTGAAGCTGTGGATTCATTTAGGCCAGATGTGAGGGACTGAATTATCATTCCTAATAGCCCTTCTTTACGATGACAGGCTGATAACGTAGAAAGATTCGTAATAAAGTATATTTTCACTATCTGTCACTAACAGAGGGCAGTGCGTCACAGTGGCTGTTTTGGACTTCAAAAACAACAGTTCAGACGTATTCGGTTCAAATATTCTCAAATAAATTCCTCCGTTCCATCAAGGCTTGGAGCCAAGTTGCGTGCAGAACTCTCAAACTCCTACAATTATTTTTGTACTAAAAATATTAAAAGGCATTAACACTAAGATCAATGAGCACTGTTGGTTGTGAAGCAATCGTTTTCGTCAACAATTTAGATTGTGCTTTAGTAAAAGTATGGTCTTTAGATAGTAATCAACGCGGATTTCAATCCTGCGAAGCTCATCAGACAAATTTACATGTGCAAGCTATTCAGTAATATTCTCCAAATCTTCGACAATCAAGCATTTTTCTATCTGCACTGCTGTTTATGTTCGAAAGCAGCACAACAAGCACCAACCTATTTAACTTGCCAAACAAAATGCAGACTTCAGGCAAAAGACTTTACATGGTTCCCTAGCTATTTGTGAAAATATTCTAATCTCATTCTGTGAATGTCGAAGTACGTGAGGTGACTTTGCTTAGTTGACATCCAAGCAATGCGCCTCTTATTGCTCTCCAGTTTAATTCACGTTATTGTTGAGCAAATAGGTTCAAAATCAATAGCTGACTTAACTCAGGTTCTGTGTTAGCCAATCCTGGTGTTAAATCAGTAAATATGTACATCACATATTTAGAATATTAGGACTGCACGGATGAAATGTGGTACGCTGAGTTCGAATTTCTTACGGTTTCTCTTCATAA